ACTATAGTAAGCTTATATTATAAATAATCGAATTCTTAAAGTTAAAATATTTTTTTATAAGCTGATAACTTTCTTGAAAATCATATATCTACACCTTAGCTTTCTTCATACTTTAAAAACTCAAAGGGTATTCTCATGACAATAAATTAATCATTGTTCAAAAGTATAAGCCGTTTAATGAATAATAAATGGTAAGGAGATTCAATGCAATACATAATTAAAAATGCATTGATATTGACAATATGTCAATTAAACCTGTGTGTTAAATGTTTATTCATAATTTAAAAAAGATACCTGTCAAGCTTGTCACTTCAGTCCTAGTATCCAACCAGATAATTAAAAATGTATGATATTAATATTAAACTCAATTGCATACCTAACCAATATATATATACACTATACAGGGTGATTCACCAAGCATGCTCCCACATTTTTCTTTTAATAATGATTTTATTCAAATTCTGATTTTTGGAATTTTTAAATATACTTAAAGACCATATTTTATTTTTCGTACTTCTTTAGGAGTGTCCTGTGGAGATACAAACTTCTGTTTTTCAAATAAGAACCGTTTTTTTACTGTGAATAATATTTTAGTTGATAATTTTTTTTTAAATGTCGATGTAAATATTTCGAAATTCGATTGAGTAATTTCTTAGTTATCAAAATGCTTGTATTAAGGATAATAGTTTACATAAAAATAAAATATAAGTGAAATTAGATCGGTTATTCATTATAGCTAGGCCATTTTTACAAATTATTAATATTGATAGATTAATATTAATAAATACAATTTTAAAATCGCAGCCGACGCCTTAGTCGGCCATTCCGCCCCCCTTCATTATTTCATTTATCAATATATATAAATATAATAAAATGTTTTATTATAACTACTATTGAATTATTAGTCTATGATCTGTTATGTGATCTTCAAACATAGAAAAATTACTAAAAATTAAAAATAAGTATAGTACTTACATGTACATAATATATAATAATATGTTGCACATAACAGCAGCTACGTTTCAAACCCAATAGAAATGTTATATAATATCTTAACTTGTATGACCTATATTACATACTATGTAATATGTATAGTGTATGGATGACTTTGTGTTTTGTTTGTGTATTATTGTTATGGTCACGTTTGCAGGTAATAATTATTTTATGACATTTTTAACTTGTATCCGTTGTAACTCATAAAATATTAAAAAGACAATGGCACATTTGTTTCATTTTTTTCTTTAAATTGTATGACAAGTGTGGAAATGAACAGAAAACATAATATTTAAAACACTATACATATATGTAGGTCAAGTTTCAAATTGTACCTATGTAAAAAAATAAACTGCTTGTGTAGTTTTATATATTTTATATTTTTCGATATATAAGTTATAAATTATAATAACAGTAAGTAAAGAAAGTAAAGAAATCAATAAAGCAATTATTACAATTTTTATTATTTATAATTTATTAAGTTTACGGTATGAAAGTCAAATTAATTTTTACGTACGTAGGTAGGTTTATCTAATTGAGACAATCGACAGAAAATAAATATCATAATAAAATGTATGAATTATGAAATATCGGAAAACTTGATCTATTATACACAGAGGTGAAGCTAAATTGCCTACCTAAGATGCCGTGTGATGATAACAAATATTACACGATTGAGATGCATTTAATTGGCTACAGGTTATAGCATGTATACAAAAAAAACTAAATTCTATTGTGAGGCTTCAATTATCGGATGATTTTAAACAGTTTTAAACCGATTCGATTATCAAACATTTAAGCCTTCTAGAGTTCTCTATGTAATTTTTGATATTTAAATAACAAAGCACATATTCTGAGTAAAAAAAAAAAACACATTTTTTTATTTTATCATAAATATTTAAATAATCATTTAAAAACAGCATGGATGCAACTTAAAAGACACAATGGTAAATTCAAATCCAAGTATCAAAGTCGTGTTTATGTTTTGATCTTTTAGTCAGTTATTATACGTTGCGATAAGATCAGTCACAAACGTATGTGCACTGTAAAAATTACGTATTTTTATCATAACACTCTTGTTTTACATTAGGTACTTACTATTCTATAGCTACTTAAACATTATCTGAAACAACTGTTTTCAATTAATTCCCACACTTAATAATGTCAATAAAAACTTTAATGAAACTGAGTATTAAGTGTTAGTTGACAACATTGTAATAAATTATACAACCAAATTGTCTAAAGTGAGTATTTCGGTAAAGAAAAAAGCTATTTTGTAGCTTTAAATTGATATTATATCATGAAATGGACCAATATATTATACGTGTAGGTATATGGAAATTGTCTATTTTGTATAATAAAATAAAATACTATAAAACAAGTCCGTACCACTCTCATATGACCGTTTCCCTTCTCATAACTTACAAAACAGTATATTATTCACTGTAATTTTTATTTATGAAAATAACAATCGAAATTGTGTTTTATTACTGTTGCTGTTTCAGGAACTCACATCGTGGTTATGATTTTGACGTCACAATAGCGATAACGAATTAAATACATACACTTCATAATAATGTAATGCATATAGGCGTGCGCAAACTTCGTTTTCAGGTGCGGCTACTATTTTATGTGATGATTCACACCTCCCCACAACATCAGCCAACAATAATTTAATAAGGTGGTATTCAGTTAAAATTAAAAAATGTATAAATAATACATTTTATTCATATCCATCAGTAATTACCTACTTAACGTTAAAATATTTTATTTTAATATGGTTTTGTAAACAATCAGTTCACAGTCCCCGTTAATGCACTAAATGCAAAATGATTTAAATAGCATAACACCCGTTAATACGTCATGATAAACTAATAAACAGTTTTATTATAACTATGATAAATGATTAGAACGTCACGATTCGTTACCAATACGCATTGAATATTTGACATTATATTCAGACATTGATTAAAGAAATTGCGTAGTAAATACATCACTAAGACGATATTATAATATATTATGATAATGACATAGAATTATCATCTAAATAAAATATTTTTCTATAGAAAAACGTTGTTCTATAATATAGTACCACATTATATAATGATTATGATATAAAAAATATAAATTGTGCAAAAGATATAAAAATAACTATTTTGTAACTGTTATCAATGAATGAACTTGAATATATGCACAAATATTATGTAATAGTAATTTACTACTCATACACTAACATGCAGGTTAAAAACAATTTGTGACATAAGTAGAATAGAAGATTCTCTCCAGCTTCTTAAAAAAATACTTCAACAATAAAGTTGAATGGAGCCACTATAAATTCAATTATTGACTGTCTAGTAAAATTCAGTGTTTTTGTGATAATGACTTGTCGGAATCTATCGTTTAGATTCAAACAATAATGTTGGCATATAAGCGTTCAAATTCAAACCAGCAATACATTACGTACACATCAAAGCAACAAAATATAGTTATAAATTGATTGTATCCAGTATATTCTTAAAAAAACACATGCAGTCAGCTTCTTTAATTTTGAAAATATTGTGATAGTTGAATTACTTAACAATGTTTAAAAATTGAACTGCTTTAGTAGAACCTACTAAAACGTTTATTGGATTCTAAAATAAAAAGATACATTTCTGGTGACAAGACCCTCTGGAGAGCTCCTGGGTCTAATTTTAAAACTCTTGTTCATGAACTCGTAAGATAATAATCTTGAATAAAAAATCCTGACGTTGTGATATTAACATAAGATAAGGATGAATCGTAATTTTGAATGTGTCGATTAAAATCTAAATTACCATTTACAACATATACAATGTTAACATTGGTAAGATAAGGTTTTTCTGGACAACATTTTCTTTGAAATATGGTATATTAGAGTACTAAAAAGTTATGGTTATAAGATGTGTCCTAATGGCTAATATTAAGAGTTAGACGGTATAGGTATTTTTAGAAATTTATTAGAAAAAATAAAAATATATTAGATGAAAAAAATATAAGAATTAAAACAGAGATCCACCTAAATTGTACTAAGTTATTATGTGTGTGTGTGTGTGTGTGTTACTGTTATGTATTTAGTTTATTTTAATTTATACTTCAGGCAAAATCAGTTTAAGTTGTCATTATTATTTTTATATATTATATTCACAGAATATAATACATACTATTAGGTTATAATTTATTATTAACAAATTTTTCCAGTGCTATAGATATTATTTTTTCAAGTTTAGTTTTATACAATTTACGAATTTTTTCTAATCTAAAAGTCTTAGGAACATAGTTTTTTAGTACCTTTTACTAAGAAAAATATATTCTACTGTTCGTTTGAACGTTTTTGAGATAAATAAAAAATAAAAATTGTTATAATATAGGTACACATAAACAAATACATTTTAAAATCGTAGCTATTTACGGAAGTGAATAATCGAACTATGACTTTAATGTATCCATGTAAAAAAAAAAATTAAAAAATGTTCAATAACAATTTTAAATACGCCACGGCTGTTGGTCGTTTTTGGAAATACATAATATACTAATAATTTAAAATGTAATCCTGGGTATTTACATAATATTTTGTATTTAATATGCATATATATTACGAATTGGTGATAAGACTATAGCGATTGGAACTTTTATTATAATTTTTTTTAGAATAGTAATAGTTTTTTGTTTCGTTCCAAACGTTTTATACCTATGGTGTTTCTCAAAGTAGTTGATCCATAGGTTGAAATGTAGCTAGATGCTTTTTTTATGAAGTAAAAAATGAGAGAGACAGTGCATGTTTCAGAGTATTTTTTAATATCCATAATTACATGTGTAAAATGTATCAACGTCTATTAAAATAGCTGAGTTCGTCGTACATTTTTCTAAAAATAAATATCAATAATAAATACTACTGTGAAGACACGGTCCGTATTCCAACACAGCTACTATGTTATCAGTAAATCGTGTCGTTAGTATGATTCATTTGTTCAACGAGTACGATAACTTCAAGGATAAGTGGTTCTGACGATTTGAGTGTTGATGATGGAATTGAAAGTGTTGGTCCCGAATCCTACCTCAATAAATACTAGTCGTTCAACCCTTATTTTGATTGACTGTTGTATTTTAGTTTGATGATTGTCGATTAAGATGTTCTTGCTTTTATTCGATCCGTTTTCCATTGTCATTATTTGCGGGATTCCTGCCATGATGGTGGTTGACCGGCCTCCTCTTCGTCCATTAACACATCTTTGTCCCATTTCTGTCTCATTTATGATGGTTATTATGAAGGGGTGATCGAAAACGTTTGAATATTAACGGTACTTTACTGCGTCGTGTTTTACTCGGTTAGGTTTTGCATATTAAAGGTTTTTCTTTTGCTATTAGAATATATATCCACTTGTGCTTGTAGCGTAGTTGTGTGTAAAATTCACGTAGCCCGTTTATACTTTTATTTATATCTTCTTTGAATTGAAAATTTTCAATTAGTTAATTGTACTTTTAATTTTATTAATATGTATTTAATATTTTATATATAATATAAATGTATGACATTTTATGACACTTGAAATATTTCAGAACACACATGATTAAATAGCTACAAATGTATACTTCCTACGACGGACGCTCGTAAAAAATAAATTGCTTGACATGACAATAATACGTACATACCCGTCCCGAAACCATATACACACACCCCCCTCAACACACACACACACACACACACACGCACACACACACACACACACACACACACACACACACATAATAATATACACTCGAACACTCACACGTACGTGTCTATACTGTTTTCCTATATTATTGGTATCGATAACCACCGGCCGTTGTCACCGTAAAACGTGTAAACACTGTAGCCAAGCGTGCTACAGTTGACTTACCAAAATGTTTCCCATCCATCGATGTTCCAATAATCATATATTGTTTTAATCGTCACACTAGTCGTCATAGTCGTATATTACCACTGCTGTGAATTATAAGTTGTATTTCGAGTAATCACATTCGGTTGTATCCGTCGCCACACCGTTTCCGTTTTGACCACCGAGAAATGCGTCGTCGCCTCGCCTCGGTGTTGCGCAGTAAGTGGTTGCGATGTGCGATGGCCGCTGTGGCCCTCAACTACGCGGCCGAATGCGTGGCCCGCAATGAACCGTACTGGGAAACGGACGTGGCCTACCTGCACTGGTCAACCGACGTACCAGCGGTAACCGTGTGCCCGGCAGCTTCCGGTCCTCCGGCAGATCACCTTCGACCGCCGAGGTTGGTACGATCGGTGGTGTGGGGGGACACGAAATCCGCTCTCGCTATTAAATGGGGTGATCGCCTAAATTCTAAATAATGAATGGTGGTGGGCAACTGAATTTCTTCGGTATAAAATTACGGTAAAAATCGAATATTATGATATATGACACTGGTTTACATGACATAGGTGTCGGTTTAAGACGTTTAAGTACCTAGCTACAATGCGGAAATTTCCAATATTTCAGACACGTGGCTAGGGTGGGTATTATTTTTACTCAATTTTTGTTAAGTATAATATCGTATAGTAATAATTAATAATAGCTTTGAATATTTAATATAACTTTAATAGTTTTATGGATATTATACAGGGTCAAATAGTATAAGTAAATTTGTATATTGCTGATAAATATAGACAGGAACTATTATCGCTAAATTAAACGGTAATATATATTTTTATACCGTCGTTATGATTTCCATGTTCGCTATTTTTAAATTTAAATGGCCAAGCTGATATCACAAACATATACTGTAAACTGTCCATTAAATGCATTATTCCGGTTCACTGGATTACCTTGATTTTACATCTCATCTACAGTTAAATTATAATGGGCATTAAAAGTGGTACAAAATATTTAAAAAAAATCATAAATAGAAAAAAGTTTTAAATATTTGTTTATTAATTGTTTCTACTGTTTTGTTGTAAAAACCAAATTTTAAAATTAATTTTAAAGACAAATATCACAATTACATCATTTTATATTAGTATCTAGCTTAAAAAATCAAATACATTATGTATAGATAAAAAACCATATAAAACAAAATGTCTATCTTATTCTGAACTTCAGATAGAATACATTTATAGAACCGAGTTGAATTATTATTAATTATTATGTGATTATTCAAGTACTATTTTACTTACGTGGAGACATAAGTTTAAATACATTGATTTTTCTAAATAATCGTTTTTATAAGAATGATTTGTATCAGTTTGCAACAAACGTAGGTATATACTTTTGATTATGAATCTCTAAATTAAATATATTTATTTGTAACTCATAATTAGTATTCAAAATGAAAAATGTATTGTATGTTTCAAATTATTAAATAAGTCATACTTCATGTCTTCATACAAAACAATTTATTAATCAGATAATAATATAACAACTATAAGACACCTTCAGGTATAAATTATTTTAAGGAAAAATCTGAGAAAGTTAAATAAAATATAAAGTAAATTGAAAAATATTTAAAATGTAAACTACCTCCAAGAAACGATAATTAAAGTAAAACTTATTTTAAACATTAATTAAAAAAGTTTTTAACGAAACGAATCAAATAAAAATCAATATAAATAAAAACAACAATTCATATATTTACTATTATTGGTGATATACCTTCTTCATACATGTATATTTTATAATGTCCATATAAAATCACTATTTTAGATAGGTACTTACCACATTTACAAAATATCTATACAAATATTGGTAAGCTCACAAAGAGGTAGTATTGTATTATAATATGTGACCGATTTCCTAACTGAAATTAATATACGTAATTATAATATAATAATATCTATTATTATACAAATGTATATTAATAATTATGTTTGAATACAATGTATTTACTTAGAGGAGTTGTATAGGCAAGTTAAAAATATGTGAATATTAAGAATAATACGGACAAATAAAAAATATAAATTATAGTTACAAGAAAACAAAGTCAACTTTTATATACTATAAATATATTTATGATTAATTTTATTGTCAAAATTGAATCATTATTTTTATATGAACAAATATACATAGTTAGTTAACTATCGAAACATAGTATCATAACATATTATTGCATAGTAATAATCTTTAAATGATGCAGCAATAGTGTTCTATTAGTCATTACTCATTAGGTATTTACTTTACTATAATGGTATACCTAACCATAAATATTTCAAAAATTCAATTTGTTTTACAAGTTTTAGTTTTCAGTTTAAAATATTGTACATATTCTAAAAAAACCGTTAGTTTTGAAATGTTTAGGTTGAAAAGTTTCAAATCCATTTTTCCTTACCTTTTCGACTTACGCCCCTTTATTGACCCGATATTATTTTTATTTTTTACTAAAAACTTTTATTTTGAAAAAGTTTCCAAAATAAATGTGATTATTGTCGATGCTATGGTAAATTCGATTTCACAGACTGAGCAAATCTTGAGACGTGCATTCAAGTCATTAAGTAGTACAGCTTTTGCAATCAAAATATTTTATTTTTTAACAAAAAACGATAATCTTATTGAATAACTGACAGTGGAGCTAAAAGACATTTTCTTAAATAGTATGAATAATTATCAGTATAAATTTAACAATTAATATTCATCTCACCAATGAGTAAGTAAAATATTTATATTTGTAAGTATAATTTAATAATATAATTTATTTAAGTTGTTTACTTATCCATTGGTTATTGTTCGTAAATCTAAAAAGTAAAACAATCAAAAACATGATTTTTAAGTATTATTATTCATTTATTTCCGTTAAACTAATGAATTTTTATATTTTACGATAAAAAAATATAATATCTACTTTTAATAAAAATCCATGCTATGATAATATTATTTTAATTTAATAAATAATAACTTTATTATTTGTCACAAGAGTACCTAGTTAATTTTGTTAATTAATTTAAATTTAATTAGATTTAAAATAGACCTGCATTTGGTTTTTATCAGTTTGAATATAATTCATCAGGCAGAAGAAGGCAAAGATCGTAGAAGACAGAATATTACCTAATACATAGCATAAAAACAAAAAGTTTAAAATAATATTTTATACATTGTTATGAAGTAATATTTATTCTCTCTTTGATTTAAAAAAAAAAATAATATCGCAAAAAAGTTTATTGGGCCTGTGGGGACTGTGCTTTTACACCCAAATCAAATTCTCTATCTGTCATCCAATGTATTCTACAATTTATTCCTGTGGTTATTGCTTTTATTCATACAGCCAAACAACAAAATATTTGTTTTGAATAGGTATTTGTATATTATAACGATCGTTACAATAAAAAAATAATAGTATAAGTTTTACTTTTATAATATTGTAATACGTTTATACTTTATATACTTATCTTGGTGATATTTATTAATATAATGCATATTTTAATGGTTTAATATATTTTGAAAGAAAAATATTACTAAGAAATACCTATCATGTAACGACTTAGATGCGATAAATAAAATATATTACATTTTATAACAATAGAATTGGAAATTCGAAGCCATTTTTCCGAGACTTGTCAAACGCAAATGATTTTAACCTATCACTAAAACACATTTGGAGGGTTATCAAACATATATATATACATATAAAGAAAGCATAATATGTAAATATGATTCAATACCGAAACTTCGTCCCTTAGATCATATTGATATTTTAGGACATTATTATTAATACGTTTTTGTTTTGCCATATACTTTCTAAAGCCTTATATTTCAAAGTTACATATTTTAAAACTTTAATATTAAAAGATTTTGAATTATTCTTAACACTTAATAATATAATTAATTTATATTAGAAATAACGTTAGTTACATTTTAGATACGCTGTGTGCATACCAAATTTAATTAAGTGAAAAAAACTTAAGTTAAAGGAAAAAATACATTTAAAAACATAATAGTATACCTGTTAAAGAATAATATATATATTTAAATTTACATTCGGTTAATTATTAGTAATTATATTCTTAGCTAACACTTAGGTATTAGTAAATACATTTTTATTTCACCATAAAAATATTTTACTTTTTATACAATATTATACAAACTTTTCCTCAAAACCCTCAAATCACAAAAGCATTATTCAAATTATTCCGTGTGAATATATTAATATCTTGGAAGGGTAACAAATTAACGAGTTACACTGTACTGATTAACACCTATAACTATTATAAATATAATCAAGCTCAAGTTGTAATTATTAATTTCCTATGCGAATATTTTCTTAGATATAAATAATACGTCTAATTTAATTTGGTTGGTCAATCCTTACAATATTCCTGTATCAGTATAGTTATTATAAGACATTATGATAATAATAAGTCATCAATATTCTGTCCAAAAAACCTGACCCATAACTTTTCAGTATTATAGGTACTGATTTCTTGAAGAAGTATCTAGGGCCTTAAAGCCTTCTCTGTGTTATTTCATGTCATTATTTTATTTTATCATTTAAGCGTGTACATGTAACAGAATATGGCATGAATTAAATTTGTATTAAAAAATACCGATTATCCTAAGTCATTACTTTAATTACAACATGGAGTGTATTTTATTTTATGAATCGATACTAAGATCTTTCAACCGAGTCCTAGTTACTGTACTCAAATACTGATAATAATAGTTTATATTATTTATTTTACACAAAAAAAATATATATCTACTTATCTTGTTAGTTATATGAAAAGAGTTTAAAATACGTTTACATTTAGAATATATTTTAGGTGTTGATTTAATTCATTATTATCTTTGTGAATATCTAAACAAATATATATTTTTTTTATTTTTTTTCAGTAACCCAATGTTCAATGAGATTGACAATACCTTAAGTATAAATATAATAAAACGGACGAGCGAGTTTAAAAAAAAGGTAAACTTACAATAGAATAATAATCTGGGTAAAAAAAAAAATAATTGAAATTCCTTTATAGTAACAAAAATCCGAGAGTAGGTAGGTATATGCTCAATTTATTTAAACACAAATTTAATTTAAAAAGTACTTACAATGTGCTTCCAAAACTTTTTATCGTTACGTATATTATTGTTTTTATATACAGTACAATTTTCAAAATATTTAGACCAAATTTAATTTATATTAAAAGTAGGCCTACGTCAGTTTTGACTTGTAAGTCAGCAATAATATTTTAAGTATAATATGGTATACAATTAAATTGCCTACTTAAAAATACAATAGTTGTAATGTTTTTGGCGAAAATTGGTTTAAAATACCTACCGTTAACTATTAGAAAAATAATTTACTGATATGTATCATGTACCTACTTATATAAATAAATAAAAAAATATCCTTCAGAAATTTAGGCTGACAACCAGTCTTCACTTAGTATCGTTCTTCGAACCCAATGATTTTGTAGTTGATTGACGTCCATACATAGACTAATTCAATAACTATTGTAATTCGCCAAAGAGATATAATTAATCGGTTTTAATTTGGCATTTATTAAAAATGTAACTTTAAATGGAATTTATGAATGCTATTTTTGCATTTTTATTTAATTTTATTTTACAAAATGTTAACTTTCTTCTATCAAATAATGGGTTGTGAATACCTACTACAAAATATTGTTTAAATTAAAAACTGTGAAAATCTTCTAAACAAATATTCTAGAAGATAAAATAGCAGACGATATTTCAAATTTAAATATGCTCTTGTGACATCAGTTGACACCGAAAGCAGTAGTTCTTTATACACCACAACAAATATGTTTAAACAGGTTATAATTAAGAAATAAAATATAATAATAAAATACATTTTACATCGAATTTGATTTTTTTGTTATGATTTAAGATTATTAAATCGACACACATACACCTACCTATAAATTGTAATTCAAACATAATTAAAAATCAAAAATATAAGTGTTCAGCATATATTTTGTTTTTTAATTTTAAATCTTTAAGTTAGGTACTTAAATTACATTAGCATACATTTTGTTATTATTACCTATTTCAATTAATGCTTGACGCGAGACGTGCCACGTGATATTGATTTTCAGTGTAATAATATTTATATTTCTTTATTGTACTAAATCCCAAACCAACTTTAAGTATTTCGAATAACAGTGATAATCCTCAGAGGTGTATTTATAGAAATATTAATTTTTATCATAATTCGAAAAAATATTTGATAATGTGTATAGTAAGTTTTATTTAATTTATCTTTTCTGCAGTAGATCATTTTAGTGACACATACTTGATATAACTCCTGAAACAAGGTTTTGGATGAATACATTTTTTCATAATATTATAAAAAATACTGAAAATAAAATTATTCAGGGTTATTCAACTCAATTATATCAAACCATATTACATAAGTTATTTATCGTTCGAATAAAAAATATACAGTTGACATTTATAATATAAAGTATTTTCTGTAGGCTACGACTTAAGTGTATTTCATTTTTCTTGATAATATGTTGCTTTTTTGGTATTTTAAATACAACCTATTATGAAAATTTATGAGGAAAAAATGTAAATATCATTTTAATTTTATAGAACGATACGATAGATATATGGTTCTATAATATGTGCATTACTGACTACGTTTAAAAATGAAACTAGAAAGGTTTAGCATGTTTACTAAGCGTATAAATAAATATATATATAATATGTATATATATATTTTTTTTACACTTCTGTAGAAGTTAAAATTACACTCTTGGGATCCTAATGCTGAAAATATTGCTTCAAATGTATCCCTAGTGCTTTTTTACAACCGAAATAAAACCGCAATCAAAAGTATTGTTATGACGCCTAAAAATGGTCTATGGATAAATACTTTAAAGGAAATGCCTAAACCATTATGTTTCATGTATTAAAAAAAATAATAGTTATTTCAAATAATGAAAAGGTCAATCCAAAACATAGAATTCGAATTATAAAAACTTTGATGTTTTGATATTAGTCAAGTATCCATGAAATATACAAGGTACTTACGTACTAAAACATATTATGTTGTGTTATGATTAGAAATTAAACTATGCTATTTTTATTTTTCACTGATTGTAGGATAGTTTTGAAATATGTACAAATATGTTTAAACATTGTTCGTGGAATGGAAAACCATTCAACTGTTGCAGACATTTTCAACCACACCGATTCATCATTGAAAATCCCTGTTTTTGCATCAATTCTCTACAAACAATTAACAAGTATGGTTATATATCGCATAGCAAAAACTAAAATTTTATAATATAAATAACATTTAATACTCGGCAGGAAAAAGAAATTAGTCGTAAGCCATTTTTCAAAAAATGGAGAGTTTAAAATGGAATTCAATGAGCCAGTTGAGGTGAGCAATTTACTATTTAATACAACTTTATTTATAAAAACAACAAAAATTAAAGATATTTTATACAACATTCATAATATGAATAATATAATACTATAATAATAGTAATAATTATTATATTATTTGATGTTATGTTGAAATATTAGTTATTCTATCTAATAATATACTAAAAATTAACTAACTTTTTTTTAGTAAAAATATTTGTAATTTAGTTATACTTTTTTATTTTACAATTCACATGTTTTCAAACAGTATTATAAAGTTGATAGTTCTTGGTAGATAGTTAAGACGTAGGAACTAGTTAATTGTGATATAAAAATGTTCATTATTCAATTTTCAATCATAGTTTAGCCTCCACAAGACCTTAAACTCAGTGAGGCCTAGTAATCTCTACTGATATTAAATGAAATAAAAATAAATAAAAATTAAAAAAATATTACCCATCGGTACCTACAAGATTAATACATTGTACTCCTTACTCATATCTATCAAAAGTATTTGACAAAATGGCAATCTTGTATCAGTTATCACTATAAGTAATAATATTATATTTTTGTATATTTTAGATTCTGATGTTAAACAATTAATGTATTGATTTTACAATGATGTTCTGTTTTTTTTTTTAAATTTTTATTATAATTTTTTTTTTGTGTCTGTTATCAACGGTTTGAGGGTCAGTAAAACTGATTCGATTTCCTTCAACAGTATCTTGTTCGATGTTAAAGGGAATCTAGTTAGTGCATTCGGGAAGTAAAATTTTAATTTTTTCTAATGGTTTTCAAAAGCGACGGGAAACAACAACATAAAAATTAAGGAATAACGGGAATTTTACGCAAAATCAGTTTTCCGGAAATTCAATTTGATTTTGGTTTAACTCTAAAAGAAATGAACGTATATACATGACATTTTCACTGGTAGTTTATATTTTCATTTTCAAATTTTCAAAATATTTTGATTTATTTTGAACTGTTTAGGAACATTTCCAGTTTCCAATTGTATTAGTCTTTTTTCTATGAATGTCAATAAAACTTTATTTTTTGGGTAAAAAAGCTTGAAAATTTAGTACAAGACTCCTATATATGTTACCATAACAGTAGAAAATTTTAAAAATACATAGGCCCATTTTTTTTATAAGCATTTAAAGTTCAAATTTTGACAAAATTTATCGCATTTAAAATTTAATAATTATTTTGTAGTTAAAAATTTATAAAATATTTAACTTTTATAGCTAAAGATTGAAAATTAAAACAAGGTTCCACGTAAATAGGTTATATATAAATTACTTTATTCACAATAATATCATCAAATATTCTTTGTAATATCGTAGGCTGGCTGGCCGTTTTAGCTCAGGATCGTTTTTCTTATACAATGATATTATATCATTGAATTCAAATTTAATACCATATATTATTCAGAGACCCAATTGTAACCTACTGTACAGCAGAGCGACTTTTTATTTATATAACTACATAATGTTATCAATAAACAGTTAAATAATTGTTATAAATTCATAATTTAATATTTTTATACATAAATATTGAATATACAGACATTTTTAAATAAGATTCAAATTTTATTTGAAATAAAATATAATATTGACCTCAAATTGAAGTAACAAACAAAAAAATGCAATTTTAATATTATCATCAATCAATAATTATTAATACAAACATATTTTTATTTTTTTTATTTAAAAAAATGTATATTTACAATCTATACGACAAAGTATAATAGAAGTAGGTAAGCGAGGTGACATAAAATATAATTTGGCATAATTAACATTAATTGTATATACTCCTGCCCACGAGAGAGTATCCTCGTTTTGAGCATGCAGACTGAGGGCATTCCCCTACTTTGTGCCATTAATGTATGTCAAATACTTGGATTTATGGATTAATGCACGGAATCGGACGAGTTTTCGGGATACTCTATTATGGGCCGCAATATAGTATAAGAAGGCTCCCAGCAGTGCCACCTGACAAGAAATAAACAAATATATTTATATAAATTAACTTAGAAAATTAAGAACTAGAAATTATGAAAAAATCTAAATTATAAAAATGTTTTTATATTATGTAGATTTGTCATTTAGCTGATAGAGAGTAATTACCGTTGTTGCTGAAGCTTATTTTATCAACAAATAAAAAATAATAATATCATATAAAATAATTCTCGACGGTACCAATAATTTTTTATAAATATTGAGTTATAATTATAATTGATTGATAATCACTTAACTACTATCCAAACAAATTTCAGATAATCCATCCAGGTGCCTGAAAAGGATCTGGTGTAGTGACCTACTCTCTCCTTAAATCACTTCCCATGGGGTGCCGCTCCCTTCAATCAAATTTCATCAAATTTACTTATTGTATAACATGTAAATACAGATTGTAAATATATAAATTTTTGGTCAATAAAAAAAAGGGGGGACGGAGTGGCCCGAGTGGTCTAAGGTGTCGGTTGCGACACAGGAGATGCCGGCTCGATTCCCGGCCGAGGGGGGCATTTTTCTTCGGGCATGTCATGGTGTACGGAGAATAAGTGCCGCCATCCCTCCACCAGGGCATGGCAGATACCTACAGGAGCCCACTAAAAAATCAATCTGCAGAACACTCACGTGTTCCATCCTCCTACAGTTCCACAGGCTAATAACCTCAGTAGTTGAAGCCTCAACCCCCCCCCCCCAAAAAAAAAAAAACTACAATTTCTCCTTTAAGATATCATTGGACATAACTGCCCTTTAATTATTATTCATTACATTTTAATAATTTTACAATAATACTAGGTACCTACTACAATATTATATTATTTCACGTAATAATGAAACACAAAATATACTCGTATTACAAAATTATTTTATTTTATTATGAGGGATTGGACCAAATCCATTGTTTTATTTGGGTAAATAAAGACTTGTATTATAGGTAATGAGGAATTAACAATTATTTTTTTATTTTTATAAGTAGGTTTTTTTATTTCTAGTCGCTTTTATATATGAATTCAAAACCAGTTTAAATATTTGTAAGCTGTTAATTATTATTGTAATTTATGTTTAAATAATATTCAGCATAATAATAAGTCTCTTCAGAAATATATATACAGTTTTAAAATATAATAATTTAATTTTTCATAAGATAATAGTTGTATGCCCAGAACAGTAGTTGATGAATTTTATTCATGCCAATGGTCAAAACTAACTCTTCCCTGATATTCTTATTTTTTTTTAGAACTTTCATAAAAATAATATTTATTAATATCGTGAAAATAATAATAATGATAACATTTGTTGTCTGATTAATTAATTATTCAACCAAGACATGACTTGACAATTTAAATTTTAACGAGACCGTGTAAATTATGGACGTAGTAATAATTATATTATAATTTATAAACAAAATATTATGAACCATCTTGCCCCTTTCTCGGTAGAAATTTCTGACTGGACAAATCATGATATAATACGCGGAACGTCTTGGCAGCTATGAATATGCAACGCGAACAATGGTTTCAATATATATATATTAATATTTACCTCCGATGGTTGGTGTATTATGTTTAATGTTTATCTATTATCTACATTCGAAGGCCTGTTCGTCGGGATAACAATATCAGCTGTTGTTATATTTTAAATGTATACCGAACTGCTTCCTTTTTTTTTTAGATTTCACTGCACAGTTCGGTAGACGTACGATTTGGGGAGTTACAGCAACAATACGTTACGATAAACGCTGGCGACGAAATGGAACTGTTGTATACGACCCGTCAAGTCGTCGAGCACGTTTCGTTGGTAGCTTTGGACTTGACCAGACGCGGATGTTTGTTGCAAGACGAGAGGAAGTTATTTCATCACCCCGTTTACAGTAAATCCGCCTGTTTACTAGAGTGTGCTCTGCGCCAACCCGAAGTATACGGTAAGATATTAAGGAAATAAATGTTCTAAACCGTATAATATAAGCTATATGTGTACCATACATAATATGTATAGTATATCCGTTCTTTCCAGTAACAGTGATCCTTATTCCGAATATAATACGACGTTCCATTTGGACAGTACCTTCATATAATGTATACTTCCCACAACTACAACAACAACAAAAAAAAAAACGTATTGTCTAGAAAACAATAAATAATCTGTGTGCTGAACAATATACGAGCTTAATAATATCTGTAATATCGAGCAATACGTTTTTACTTGTTATTAATTTTCTATGGAACCACCGAATAATGGCGGAAACATATAATATTGTAAAATATAATATATTATTATTATTTTCTATAGGTATTTATCTACCATTTGTTACAATACAAGTCAATAACATATTATTTTACACTTATTTTAGATATTACGACCACGCAAAATGATTCTAAAAATATTATATGATTTATCCCGATTGGAATTAACTAAGGTTGAATCGTTCGACTAAAGACGATAATAAATTATAATTTAGGTATACCTGTTTTTTACTGTTATTATTAATTTATTTTTGTTTTAATGATTATTCAAACATAACATATTAAAATATGCTTTGTTATCCGGCCAATTATTTATTATTATTCTGAGATCATACACAATCAGTGCACAGCAAAATTAGTATAATATATGATATTTGAATAGTTAAGCATGAATATTTTGATTAACCTATTAGCCAATTAGAAACCACCAATTAGGAACACTTGACTGATAATATTGGTTGATCAGTTGTCTGATGCCAAAACTGATAGTAGTACACCAACATGGGTGGAGTGGCCGGTCTGGAAATGGGGATTTCTAGATGGCCTGGCCATTTGTTAGATTTTTTTTTTTTTAATTTAATTTAATTTACAAAATATTAGTTAATGCTAAAATTTGTTTCTATGAAATTATTGTATTACAAATATTATAAATGCAATAATAGTACATTGTAATAGCTTCGTACAACCGTATACTCTTATGAGAAAGCTTTGGATATAAAATTGCAAAATATTTGGTACATAAATATAGACATAAAATAAAATCAAAGCAAAATAATATTGATATAGGTCGGTTATTTTTATAATAAAACACCCAGATAGTGTATGGTCTCGGTTCAATCTAACAGAACTAATTACCTACTAAGAAAGTATAAATTACTGATTCGACGCATTTCCTGTTGAAACCGGGAAGTTGTTTATCTGTACCCTGTAGGGCTGTTAAGTGGCGACGAATATAGAAATGCCAAATGGCTAATAATAACTAATAATACTATTGATTATAAATACTACTAATGTCTAATACTAGTATTTTTTATTTATAATGATCGATGATAATACATATTCATTTTGTATTATTGGTCACTTTACTTTGGTCATTTACAACAGAGTGTTGGACACTATTATTGAAAGCATGAATAAACGGTTTTAAAATAATAATGATTTGTAGATGGACCTATCTTTATTATCTCCATCAAATTTCAATTTATTAAAAAGTTGGCTTCATTAACAAAATTATCTCACAAAATTGAAATAGAAAACAACCTTTCTGATGAACTTTTTAATTTTGGAAAATCATGGCATTTTTTAAAAAAATCTGTTGATGAGGAGTATAATAAACAATGATATTTAAGTAACTCTGAAAATGAAGACCTAGAGAGTACAGATGTTGTGAAACCGTGTAACAAGTCTTGTAAAAACTGTGTAATATGTTGTATTATGTTTTAATTAAATATAATTTATTTGCAAATGCTTACCCGACATTAACTATAGCATATCAATACATTTTAACCCTCCCTGTTACGCAAGTTAATTGTGAAAGGTCATTTTCAACATTGAAGTATTTAAAAAATAGGCTGAGAAATTCAATGACCAATGAACATCTTGAGTCTTTTATGCTAATGGCCATTGAAAATAAAATTCTCATGGAAATAGATAATAGATAATCTTACTATCATAAATGCAGTTGGTGAGAAATCTAAGCTACTATCTAAATTATTATTATGAATGTAAAAATCGTTTTTATTATATTGTTTATAATGTATGTATTTATCTATTACTTGTTACCTTATACCTACTATACCTAATTTATTACCTAAACAATTAAAACAAAATGTACTATTATTAATATGTCGTTGGTTTCGACTATTAAACCATACCTACTAATTTTATTTTTCAGACTTTCAAGTATGTAGTACTTAGTGGTATATTAATATAATGTGTCAGAAAATAGAAGTTAAAAGAAATAGCAAGCTAGTGATTGAAATACTTTTATAATACTGAAAGTAGTTTTGAAATAGGTCAATAGAAAAACCAAATTCGAGCTTAACAAGAAAAAAATTTTGGTGGGTGGCCTGGATAAATTTTAAACTCCCGGCCTGGATTTGGTTCCCACTCCGCCCCTGTACATCAACATGGATTGTAAGCCATTAACACTGAAAGGAATTACGAGAAAAATCTTGGTAGCTACTGCAAGTTATTTTTCATTTTTATTATTTTATAATTTGTATGAAGATGACTGGATTTAGAAGGGCAATATATTAAGTATTTAATGAATGATTTGAAGCCATCAATGGAGTTAATCAATATTTAATTAATATCTAACGCGGAAGAGGCATATACATAGTCCTCAGTATAGACTATAGAGGCCTATACTCGGGATGTTGGCTTGTGAATAGAAAGAATGTTAGCGATATAACGTATAACTTGCTAGTAATGACAAATGGGTAAATTTATTATTTGACGTTAACATTATTATTAGTAGTGGAATCTCCTCACAACTTAAAAAGTAAATAAATAGGTTTCATATTATTAGGGAAATATAATAATTTATAATTACATATTCAATAAAATATATATATTATCTATATTCTATACTATTTATCAGTATTTTAATTATATAATTATGTATGTATTAAATTATATTACGTCATGTGATATTGTATTTATACAGGTAACATCGTCTCCAGCTCCGTCAGTAAATATTTTTTTATAATAAAATTTTTTTTCAAAACTATAGCTACATAAAGAGCAACAGTTTAATTTTTTTAGATTCTGAACGGAGAGACGAATATAGTATTGATTTTACAATGGTCTTTTGTTTTTTATTTTTTTTTTGTTCTAATTAATTTTTAGTTAAAAATTTATAAAATATTCAACCTTAATAGCTAAGGATTGAAAATTAAGAACAATAATTACCTATTATTTATAGTTCATACTGTAACCAAAAAATCTAAAAATATATAAAAACTGTTTTTCTGACACTTATATAGACATTTTAAGTTCAGATTCGGACGAAATTAGATATTTAAACAAAAATTTTGTTACAACTTAAGATATTATTCGTGGGTACTTGAACATTTTAAAATATATATTATTATATTTTATAGTTTAATACACATAATAACATTTTCAAATTCAATTTTTTCTGCAAAAAATTATTTAGTTTACTGTAGGTAGTACTAATGCCTAATAGTAACATATATTACTTTAATAATTTAATCACAATAATATCATAAAATATGTTTATTAATATTATAGGCTGATAGACAGTTTTCTCTTAGAATCGTTTTTGTATACATTGCATTTATATCATTGAATTTAAATTGAACCCACCCTTTACAGCTACCCCTCTAAACTCCTACTGTACAGCTGAGTGACTTTCTTGGTTTAATAAACTCCCAATAAAAAATATTTTCGTTTATTTAAATATATGAAAATATATGATATTATCTAATTTATATAGTTATATATAACTATATATATATATATAATGTAAATATTTTCAATGTTGGATTCTTAACTTTCATAAAATATTCGAATACCAATGAATAAAAATCAAAGTCCTGTCAGGAATATTCAGGGTGATTATTTTATGAACTAACATTCATTGTTCTAAAAAGAATAAACTTTTTTTGAAATTTTTTTAACACAATTAAAGATGCATGCATTTCATTATTTCAATTTATATTGCCCTTATGTTTTTCACTCTTATGTGAGACCCTATTGTTAGTAAACAAACATCAGTTATTTAATTAATAAAATATTAATTAATTTAAAAAAATACCTACAAAACCTATGAAACTTCTAACAATTATATGAGTTTAATAATATATTTACTTTGAAAGCAGAATTGTTGTGTAATAATAGTGAATGTTACATTTACAACACTTAAAATAAATAAAAAAAATATAATAATAAACAAAATTAAAACAAAATAGTTCTCTAATTTTTATATTAAATGTAATCGAAAAGATCAATGCAATTAAAATATTAATACAATACTTTTAAACCTTAAAATTATTTTCAGCTAGTGGGGAAATTAATACATATTATATTGTTTTTACAATGATGTGTTTTATTTGTTGTGTCTGTGTACACGATAAGTAGGTAGTCGAATAATGCTTCGATTTTCAACTTCGGTATCATGTTTGATAGGAAAGTGAATCTAGTTGGTTTGACAATTGTCAAGGACAAAATTCAAAATTCCCAATAGTTTTCAAAAGCGACGGGAAAAACAAAACAAAAAAAAGGTGGGTAAGTGGATGTCGCTCTGCTGTACAGTAGGTTACAAGTGGGTCACTGTATAATGGATGCTATTAAATTTTAATTCAATGATACAATATCATTGTAGGTATAAGTAAAACGATTCTGAGCGAAGACGGTATGTCAGTCTAGGTTTAAGACAAATTATATACATCTCTATGGTATTAAAAAAAAAATTGACCTATAATAAATTCCAAATTAATCATATCACATTATCACAATATCCATAAGGTACTTATAACGGTAAGATAATTAACTACTTACGTGGAATCTTGTTTTAAATTTTCAATCCTTAGCTATAAAAACTGAACATTTTATAATTTATTAATTACGATGGTTAATAATTTTCGAGATATTGAAAAATTCTGTCAAAATTTGATGTTTAAATGCTTATAAAAAAAAATTGTGATTATGTATTTTTAATATTTTTCAACTGATATTGTAACAATATATCAGGAGCCTTGTATTAAATTTTTACACTTTTTGGCCCAACCGATAAAACTTTATTGATATTCATAGAAAAAAAAAACTAAAAAAAATTGAAAAATGATAATATCCGTAAACAGCTCAAAAAGAGTCAAAATATTTTCAAAATTGTATGGTGTATATGAAATGCTAATATAAACATTCAGTGAAATTTTCATGTATCTATAGTTATTCGTTTATGAATAACAACAAAATAAGGAAATCGCTACATGAGAAATCGAGTGAACATCCAATGTTGTAAAAATTTGAATTTCAAACGCTCATAAAAATTTAATTTGACTGTCAGGTAGAGAATTTTTTATTGATAAAGGTAGACAAACTTATGAGTAATCTTGTATTACATTTTCAAATCTTAGATTTAAAAAGAAAAATTTTTACGGATTCTTAACTCAAAATAATTTGCTAATTTTCGTGATTTTTCCATATTTTGTAAATTTTTTAACTTTAAATGCTTTTTAAAAAAAACTGTGACTAACGATTTTAATATTTTTCATCTGCCTTTGAAACAATATACTAGGAGTCTTCTATTAAATTTTCAAGTTTTTTAACCAACAAATAAAATTTTATTGATATTTCTAGAAAAAAAACTAAAAAAAAATGAAAAATGAAAATGTCCCTAAACAGTTCAAAATAAATCAAAATATTTTGAAAATGTTATCGTGTATACAAAATGCAAATATAAACAACCAGTGAAAATTTCATGTATCTACGGTCATTTGTTTTAAAGTTACACCAAAAACCAAATTCAATTTTCTGAAAAATCGATTTTGCATAAAAATTCCTGTTTTTCCTTAATTTTTCTTTTGTTTTTCTTGGCGCTTTTGAAAAGTACTGGGAATTTTAAATTTTGACCTCCCCAATGCACCAACGATATTCACTTTCCAATCGAACAAGATATTGAAGTCGAAAATCGAAGCATTATTTCGACTACTTATTGTGTACACAGACAAAAAATGTATACAATGTTCAACTTTTATTTATATTTTTATATATCTTAGGCTGAATGAACGTCTTCACTGAGAATCGTTTTTCGTAAACAATGATATCATATCATTGAATTCAAATTTAACACTATCCATTACAGTAACTCGCTTGTAACCTACTGTATAGCAGAGCGACACCCATTTTTTTTATTTGAAGGTACCTTTGTCACTTTGAATTCTTTAATCTTAAATTTTTATGACAATGATTTTATTAAAAATGGATCTTGTAGATAGAACAAAATAAAAAAAAAATTTACTAAAATAAAAAGAACATAATAAAAATGAGTGACGGACTGCTATACAGTAGGTTACAAGTGGATCACTGTTATGGTGGTGTTAAATGATAAAATATCGTTGTATTCGAAAAAACTATTCTGAGCGGAAACGGCTTGCCAAGGATATTTTATATTATATTTATATTGCTATTATTAATACGGTAGCCGGTAAGTTGAATTAATATTATTTTAATATTATCATATTTGTGTATGATAATATACTTTAGAAGTTTCAAGTACCTACGAATAATATTTTTAAATTACAACACAAAACTAAAATCATTCTTCTTCGTTTAAATATCTAATTTCGTCCAAACTTGAACTTCAAATATAGGTAGCTATAAAAAAAAACTGTTTTTATATCTTTTTTAGATTTTTTGGGTACGGTATGAACTATTTACATTGAACACGTTGAACCATGTTTTAAATAAAGCCATTCAACCATTTATACAAAAAAAAAACAAATAATATCCTAATTTGTCCTTCTAACTTGTAGAGTGTTGAGCTTTAAATAAACAAATATAGGTCGATCAGATGAGTGGGGCTGACGTTGGATATTACATTAATTATTACATGCTAACTCTTAAAAAGTGATTTATAAATTCCTCAAGATACTGGATAGGACAAGTAGAATAAGGAGACTAAATTACTGAGTTGTAATCTAAAACTGATCAGATAAAGGCACAGTAGAGTGATTTAAGGCCTAGTGGATTGAAAAAATTATTACAGTTCTAATGTATAAAGCCTAACAGTGAAGAATCTTTATTTAGCGTTCATTGAATGAAAGAGTAGAACCAAGAGATAAATGCCAAAATGTTTTATGTGATTGACTCTAAGAAGAATTTGAATGATATAGAAGAATTTCAAATTTTCAATTTATTTGAATGTACATTATTTGTATCACAGTGATCACACCAGTTACTAATACTATTATTAAGATCATAATACTGAAACAGTTCAGTATCGAGTGGAGTCCTTATAAATGTTTTAATAATATATGAAATAGTTTAATACCATCATCAAAAAGTAGTAAGTTTGAATTTATAACACTGATATCGTTAAAATAAATATTGAAAATAAGTGGAGCGGGATTGGACCCTTGAGGTATACCAGAACTCAGAAGTATAACATTTAACTCATAAGAGTTATAGTTTTAAATTTAACATACTCCTTTAATGCTTTCTACGGGATAAAAATAAGATTAAAAAAAAATAGAAAGGATTAAAAATACCTAATTGCAGTGCCGTAGAAGAATTTAATTTGGAAGGAGGGAGGGAGATCATCATAGTACAAAAAGTACTATAAAATATGATAGTGGTTTTAAATGTTTGTAAATACGTTTAAAAAGATACTTTTTATATTGAGAGGGGGTGGGGATTATTAGCGTTTGAAGTTCAAACTTTGACAAAATTTGAAAATTTTTAATTTTTAAATTAATTTAAATTTTAAGTTTAATGCTATAAAATGTAATACAATGTTTTTCATCAGTTGATCTTACAACAGTCTAAATGTATGGAAAAAATTGTGTCCCCCTGCAGTATACTTAAATATTACAAAAATTATAATTTTAAGAAGTGAATTATTATTTATTATATGATAAAAAAGGGATGAGAAATATGAATATTTGGTGAATCAGTCAATTACTCTGGTTAAATGATAATGGGGTAAAGTGTAGAGTTATTGGCACCAAATATATTCCATTCATATTGTGAACAATCAAATAAAATAATACGATAACAGATAGATTGATGACAATGACTATACCAGTGTAAATAATAGTATAGTATATAAATAAAACTAAAATAGATTTATTTGTGTTAATTTAAGCAAACATTTACAAATACAATTTATACTTTGGTTTTTACTCAAAAAATATGTAATATTTTTAATATCTTATTATAGTAAGATGATTATTAATTATCTTTATTATGTTATATATTTTTGTTATAGCTAAAAATTATACGTTGTGCGATTGTCCTCCAACATGCGCAGAAATGGAAATAAACGCCGTATGGAATGGAACCCAGAGGTATCTTATTAATAACTAAATAAGTTTGTGTTTGTAAAAAGAGTTTTGGGGATTAATATCGCTTACCCAAGAAAATAAGTTTCGTTGAACTATGTTTTAATATAAGTATATAGAATTTAGATAAACATTTAAAGAGTCCATCATAAAGACGTTATCGCTCAATTCCTTTTAATATATATGCGAGCTTTTAGGTAGATCAAATTTAAAATCTATCATACTTGATTGAGTAACTATAATATGTTTCAGCAGCGTTTTATAATTTACATTAATTATCACCCATAAAACATGATACTAAACCAAAAACTTTCTAGAAATACGTGAAACTATTGCATTTAAATGAAATTGCAAAGTATTATATAAATAAATAACTATGACTATGTTTATTGCATAATAATATGAACTTAGATAGCTACAGTAAAATTACACTCAAACTTTCTGAACAGAAATAGAACATTGTTGAATGTTTTCTGTGTGAATTGCAGACAATTAACAACAACTTGTTTCAGAAAAACTTTTAAAAATTAAAAATCCATTGTTAACTTTGGATTTTTGATGCATTGATATTATACAAGAGAAGGTGGAGGCGGTAAAATGTCATATAGTAATAGCCCCGCTGTAATTAGCCCTTTCCACCCACATTAATATCCATTCTTTGTCAGCATTGAGTGAACGATACGCGACGCCGGTGAAAAGTGAAGAAATTGGGATTCGAAGACCGGTTAAACCGATATGACTTGGTAATGCAAATTTTAGGAAGTTCAATGTCAAACAGTGGTGGTAATGCTCCTGTTAAAGTCAGCAGACGAGTATAGTTACTATACTATTATACCTGTTGTTCTTGCACGATAAAATTATTATAATCAGCAGATTACACAAGTAGAGAATTTTTAAAGATATCTGATGTAATCGAAGCAAGCAGCAGAACAGAAACATAGATAAACAATTTTTTAACTATGCATCAATACACTTTCGGATAATATAAAATATGGATGAATAGTTCTCGTGAATCACTCTCGTAGTAACTAGTAAATAATTATGATGACTTCACTTAAGGGGATTCGATACCGCGATTTTCTGTTTTTGTCTAACACACGCACGACATAGTATTTTAGACGTTTTTTTTGCCAAACATTCCAATAAATTGATCTAATGAAGCGATAAGAATTCTGAAAACAGATTTGAATATGTCGTCAAGTCTACTTGAAATCGATTTCCCCACATTTTTGATATTATCCCCCAAATTTTTTAAAATGTCATATTACAAAAGAGTATTTAAAAATTCTGTTATTTCAATTTTTGGAGAAGTTAAAATCAAAAAATCAAAAATGTGGAAAGTCGATTTCAAGTAGACTTGACGAAAAATTCAAATCTGTTTTCAGAAATCTTATCGCTTCAATAGATCAATTGGAATGTTTGGCAAAAAACACGTCTAAAATACTATGTCACGCGTGTGTTAGACAAAAACAGAAAATCACGGTATCGAATCCCCTTAACGAAAAATATTTAATGTTAATTTTGTATCTATAGTATTATCGGCTATTGTTATCATTCTGGTATACTATTATAGGATTCCAAACTGTCTAGACACGCATTGTATATGCCATATGCGTATATCATAGAAGTTAGAAAATGAAATTTAAAAAATAAATGAAACACATGATTACAGTTTATATTACTATAATATTATAGCATTATAATTACTACGAATATGGCATATACAAGGTATACAAAATACAGATATATACCAAGCTTAACGATATTTGATATATATCGGCTTTTAAGCATAAGTTGAATATATCTCCAGTTCTTCATGTTTATATCAAAAATATCTCCAGAAAGCGGAAAATCAGAAAATTAATCATTGTAATAAATTGTATTCGTATTGGGTGCATAATATATATTTCAACTGTTGCAAAACGGAAAACTATAAAAAGATAGATTTATTTACCGGGTGAAGTCTGGTAATGAAGCAAGTATTATGTATAAAGGACATTAAGTAAAAACATTACACACTGTCAGATAACACACTAGTTTCGCCTGGTTAAATTATTAACCCTCTTTTTGACACAGATAGTATTATATTTTACTTTACAGTCTGAACCAGTGTTCTCAAACGTGTGACCAGCAATAAACATTTATTTATTCAAAAAAGTTAAAAAAATTTTCCAATAATTATTTGACAAATATAAATGTGTTTATCTTTGTAATATCTAGTATTGAATACAGTTATTTTATAATAACTATACATTATAATGATCATAATCAATAGAGAAATACATGTTACCTTAATTTATTTTGTTTAATTTGGATTTAGTATTTATAAATAAATAAAAAAAGGTTAAAAAAGTGTTTTTCCCGCAAACCATTGGTAATTTGAATTTGAAACCAGGGGTCTACAATATACAAATAAATTATTCATTGGCATCGAAAGAAATTATTTAAAAGTATTGGGCACAATAAATTGTTAAGGGTATCAATATATGTTTACAGATCGATCGATAATGTTACAAGAAGCATTCTCACGATGACAAAACCAGCAACGGAACGATTGGTAATGAAAGCCAGAAAAGATTACGTTGATTTAATAGGTAAACATTCTTAAGACATGCATTTAAAATAATTAGATCTTCTTTGAGTTTTTCTAAGGTATTTTATATAACTACTTTAATCAACATTCTTTTAATATAGCACTATGGTATATCACACAATAACACGTTAGGCGCCCGTAACTTAAATTGCATGTTTATATATAAGGTATAATTAAACAATTAAAAATATTTATTTCAATTGTTTAAATAAATAAATCCCCATAACTGAAGAATATTGTATAAAACGTTATTTAATTACAATACGATACGAATTGTAACTTTTCATTTTGTGGTTGGAGTTATTTTATAATTTAATTAAATCTCAAGATGCATAAAATATTTTAGGAGTACTCAATACGAGTACAATGTTGTCATAATCAGTGTCAAATACAAACCAATTTTACAATAGAGTTTACCGGTGATGCCAACAAATAATATTATAACCGAAATGCATACTTGTTAAGAACACAAGTACATATTTTTTTTGTAGATTTTAGGTTTTTATTTAATTCCAAAATATTGATAATTAACAGTTCACACTATAGCAAATATGAATAATATATGAACCTAACATCAGTAACATTATTTATTTATTTATTTATTAGTTGGTATATTAATGCACATCTGTCCTTTAAAATAATAACAAAATATGCAGACTTGTGGTAATTTTAGTCTAAAAATAATAAATAATATACAGGGTGTCCCTTGAGGATTTACTCATTGCGATATCTCCTGAAATAATGGAGATATCGTAATTATATTTTTTTATTAAGACTCACAGAGGTAAGCACTACAAATATTTTATTTTTAATTAAATTAAATTTTTTAGTAAAAAAGTTAAAAAAATTATTTTTTTATTTTTTTATTTTTGAAAAAATTGAAGATAGCCATTCTATAAAGTATATTTTTGTGAACATTTTGAGCTTTTAACATTTTATTTTCATTTATCTCATGATTTTTAATAATTTTTTTAGTTTATTAGTAAAACGTCAATAAACTGGTTTTTGTCCGGGCGGCGAGTCCCCCTCTACGGCTAATGAGTAAATCCTCACGGGACACCCTGTATATATAATATAATATGTATAAAATATATTTAAAATATAATATAGAATGAATAATATTATTGATGCGTAAATAACATACATAAATAATTAATAATCATATATCAAGTTACAAAATATGGAAAAATTAATATAAACAAAATTTAAATTATAATTATAAAAACCAAAAAAACACGACATATTATGTAAGGACAGTTATACAAAACTGTAAACAATAATGATATTCATTTTTGTTTCTTATCCTTCCTTTTTCTTTATTATTGTCTCCTTCCTGCTTATTATATATAATATCTTTTAACAATAATATCGATTAAAATTTAAAACAATTTCGGGAAAGAACAATGATATCTAAGTTGACACAAATTGTATTTGTTAAGATTAACACTTTTGAAAGAAAACAATTTATGCCACTGTCATTTCAAAAATGAAGGACTAAAAATAAATATACATTTTGTGATTTTTAATATTTAATTCAAAAACTAATTCCAGAAAATAACTCTAAATGAACAATATTTTAGTTAACAAGATCGAAGATAAACTTGATATCAGTTAATTTGTATCTAAGGGAAAAGGAATCTAGGCCAATATAATTTTGAATTAGAAAGTGTCTCTGGATAAAGGATTAATATCTATCATAAAATACATTATTTTTAAAAAACTATTTTATGTTTATTAATTACAGAATATAATATGACGTGTATTAACATACAGATTAATAGATGGATAAGAATTATTATTCATTTTACAAGAAGTATAATTTAATCAATATTATATTATAATTTATATTTTTAAGAGTTCAATAATATTATTAATATAAATACATCATGTTTTTATAATACATTTTGTAATTATTTCAGTTATCGTTGCCTGCATGTTACAATTGTTCACTGGAATTAATCTGTTGGACATTCCAAAATGTATATTCAAGAAAACTAAGCAATGAAATGATATACCTTTTAGTAGATAATTTAAGTTAAATTTAAAATTATCATTACATTTTTATTTTCCATTCATAATCCAACATTCAATAACTTATTCGATTTTTTGACAGTTTATTATTGATTTCATATAAATAAGTTTCTATCAAATCGTAGCCTTAAGTAAAAAACCATTTTAAAACTTGTATTCGTTCGTCATAGTTATAGTAATATAGTATACACTATTCTCTATATATTTGATATAAGATCAATTATATCCTTATTCCTTTTTTCTCACATTATTATGGAACTTATTGAAATCATTATTACACGTCATATTTTATACCAATAGGTTTAAAAAGTAAATTCATATAATAATATTGCGTAAAAATTCATTTATTATAATATTATGTTTAACAATATATTATTATTGATAATTAGAAATCATATACCATTACTTTAATATTGTTTAAATATATGTATAATGATTATTGACTAGCATTTAAATAACAAAAAATGATATAGATAAATCGATGAACATAATATTATATGTATATAGACAATATTTGTTCTGCGGGTTGATATTAAAGACAAAGATGAAACGAAAATATCATCTGTGGCGCGGTCAGTACACTCAATTGCGGAAATGCTCTGAGTGTAACTAACGTGTTCTGAGGTCAAGCATCGGCCAGTGTTGATAGCTCCCAGATGGGTGACCACCCGGGATTTTTAGCTACAAATCCTTGGCATACATACAGACGTGTTTCAAGCAACCGTTGATACCGTTCATCCCCCTGCAAACAAAAAAAAACAGCTTATGGCCATAGTTGCCAGGCTTGTTCTAAAAACTAAATACCATACAATTATTTGTAGTTATAAAAAATACATAATTATATTTTGACCTTACGGTTTATATTTTAATTGTATAAGTATTATAAGATTTATGATACATTGAGAGTTCTGTAAAATCTGCTACTCAAGTATTTTCACAAACAAAGAATTACAATAATAACATTTGTATATTATCCATTTCCTTAGATTTTTTAATAATTGTATGCACTTAAGTTGAAATTATTGTGTTACCACGAGTCATTTTATAATTAAATAGGTATTTAATAATGTAACAACGATAACTCTATGCACTGAGAATTTATAATTCAGCAAGCCACTTGATAGACAATTTAAATAGAAAATAATTAAAATGGTATATTATTATTAAACTTACCATAGTTTTAGCTTTTGAGTGGAACGATGAGTATATTGATTTTACAATAAAGTGTGTTTTTCTTAAAATTTTTTTTTTTGTAATTTTTTATTTATTTTTGTGTCTGTCATAACGGTTTGGGGCTTCTATTTTCTTCAACAGTATCTTTTTTGATGGGAAAGTGAATCTATTTGGTGCATTTTTTAAAATTCAAAATAGTTTTCACGAGCGCCAGGAAAAACAACATAAAAATTAAGGAAAAACGGGAATTTTTACGCAAAATCGATTTTGGTTTTTGGTGTAACTCTAAAACAAATAAACGTATATACTATATACATGAAATTTTCATTGGTTGTTTATATTTGCATTTTTTATACACGATAAAATTTTCCAAATATTAGGATTTGTTTTGAACTGTTTAAGAACATTTTCAGTTTTCAATTATTTTAGTTTTTTTTTCTATAAATATCAATAAAGTTTTATCGGTTGGGCCAAAAAGTGTAAAAATTTAATACAAGGCTCCTGATATATTGTTACAATGTCAGTTGAAAAATATTAAAAATACATCATCACAATTTTTTTTTTATAAGCATTTAAAGATCGAATTTTGACAATATTTATCAAATTTAAAATTGAATAATTATTTTGTAGTTAAAAATTTATAAAATGTTCAAATTTTATATCTAAGGATTGAAATTTTAAAAAAAGATTCCACGTAAGTAGTTAACTCTGTTACCAAAAAATCTAAAAAATACCTGGATACAGTTTATTTTTATAGTCATTTTAAGTTCAAATTTGGACGAAATTACATAATAAAAAACCTATAATAACTATTTTATTTATTTTGTTGTGATTGTATAATATATTACTCATATTTACTTGAAACTTCTAAAGTACACTATCATATATTATCTATGATAGTATCAGGGTTTGTTGTTGATGTATATAACGCATTATAAGTACCTAATAGATATTGTGATATGATTAATTTGGAATTTATTATAGGTCAATTTTTTTAATACCATAGATAAGTATACATTATGTCCCAAAAGTCCCGTATCACCCTTAATATCTCCATTTAAAATCACTATATTTAAACGCGGTTTTTTTTACAGTACTAAGTATGAAAATTCTGATTGAATGGCATAAAATTCATTTATTTTTTTCTTTAAATTCAAAAATTTTCAAAAAAATTTTTTACGCATTTAATAATTTAAAATTTTTAAGATAGCCATTTTGTTGAGCATATTTTTTAAAACAGTTCAAAAAAAAAAATACTAAAATTAAATAAAAATTGACCAAGTTAGAGCAAGTTATGTTTTTGAATAATTGTAGTAAAAAAATAAATTAGGAATGTAAAAGTATTGTCGTGTGCTGAAATTAGATATTTCATTATTGAAATGTGAAACAATAATTTATTTTTTTACTACAATTATTCCAAAACATAACTTGCTCTAACTTGGTCAATTTTTATTTAATTTTAGTATTTTTTTTTTTGAACTGAATTGATTTTTTTGAAAATTTTTGAATTTAAACTTTAAAGAAAAAAAAGTAGAAAATAAAAAACTAAAAATTTTTTTTTAAAAACACTTCTAAAAAAACAAAAAAATAATGAAAAATTTAAAAGTGTGTGGTATAATATGTCAAGTGTAAGAGCGCCACACACTTTTAAATTTTTCATTATTTTTTGTTTTTTTAGAAAAGTGTTTTTTAAAAAAAATTTTTAGTTCTTTTTATTTTCTACTTTTTAGTTAAAAATTTTTTTTACGGATTATTGTATTGTCATCCAAGACCAAGGTCTATACCAATTTTCAGAATTTTTCATCTTCAAA